ACATTCCTTAGACAATTAAGTGTAGGCAGACACTAACCAAAAGCCACTCTACTGCTGCTGGCACCAGATTGTAATGTTTTTATTAGCAAATAGCGACTATTCAGTGTCTGCTTGGCATAATTTCAAAGGTCCACTTATCAATTCTATGATTTCAACTGTTCATGATTATAAGACTGCTTAACTGAACCAGGATAAAACCTGTTTTTAGGGAGTCTTTGTTTCCCACATTAAAGCCTCTTCTGCAGTAGACATGCACCCACCTAATGAAACTCCAGAATACAGAGCAGAGGCCTCTGTAAATTCATAGTCTGTACCATCAAGGAAGAATTACTTTGTTAGAACAGCAAAGTGGCCCCAGTTTGGCCTTATGTTCTACCAAAAGCTCATTGCTTAGCTGCATTTAATAATCCATGAAACATTTCTATTAACTCCAGTGTGTGAATTGTGTAGTTGAAGAACGTGTAAAAAAAAAAAAAAATGTGGGAAGCAGGAATAAAAATATGCAGAAAATGAAAATGAATGAGATCTTAAATATTTCATCAAGACCTCTATTTTCAGGTAAGCAGTTACCATCTTGGACCCTCAGATGCCAACAGAAGCTACAGAATACCATTCTAAATTATTAAAATGACTAGGGGAAGCTTTTTCTTCTTACTACTTTTAAATGAGTCTGTAGCCTTTCGAGCTAACCTTTGCTTAAATATTTAACACAGACATTGGGTCAAATATAAAGTAGTAAAAGTTCTCAGTCTAACACTCACCTGTAATTATGAATCATGTTATATAATGCGTCTCAACAACTTCATTTTACTTTATTTTTTCTCTCCCTACTCTGACAATTCTTCCAAATTTGAGAAAAATCCAATTTGAATTAATTTTGAGTCTGCATTCTAGAATCATTTTAAACTGTATATTTACTGATTTTGTTTATATTTTTTCATTGGCTCCATTCATTCATTCAACAAATATCTATTGAATACTTACTAGGTGCCAGGCACTGTTTTAAATGTGGAGATATGTCAAGGAACAAAATATTTAAAGACTTAGCCCTTTTTCAACTTTACACTTAAGTGAGGGAGACCAATAAAATGAATAAAAATATATGTCGATGACAGACAATGAGTGCCATGAATAGAGTGGTATGAGAGAGTTTGTTGTTTGTTTCATAGGAAGGGTGGTCTATTAGAAGGCTAATGAACTGGGCACGTTACCTTGTGAGCGGGAAAAGTGTACCATTTCAGTCAGCAAAAACAACAAGGCAGTGGCTCTGGGGTACAAAAAGGCCAAGCGTCTTCAAGGGACAGCGACAAAGTCGAGGAGACTTGGAGGCGAGAAACAATCACTGTCAGGAGACAACGTCAGGGAGGGCGTGGAGCGGACTTGGAGGCCATTACAGAGGACTGGCTATTTTATCTTATTTGTAGTAGAAACCACAGAAGGCTTTTGAGAGGAGCAGTGTTGTGAAAGGATTCATGTTTTTAAATCACTTTAACTCAATAGTAAGTTTGGCCACTGAAGCCAGGTTGACAAAATGGTGGCTTTCTAGTAGAGTCCTGCTTCAAGAGCCACATAGGAAAGAGTTGGCATTGGCACTATCGGTTTATTGCTGCTAAGAAACCAGCCACCTCCTGCAGCACTTGGAGTGATTGAAAAGTTTTACCCTTTTTGATCATTTTAAAAGTTCCCCAGTCTTCTTTCTGAGCACTCAGAAATCAAGGGCTCATTCGAATGCAGAGCTGATCCATTCCTCAGCCCCAACACAATCTGTCCGAAAGCAAGTTTTCCAGAGCGTGCTCTGGACATGCCTCTAGGCCCGAGACACTTTGCTTAAAGAGCTCCTATTAAAACTTCATCAGAACACCATTAAGTCATAGAAGAAAGCTGCACAATAATGTTGTAACTGGATCTAATTTGGTAACCACACTTTTATGCCTAGAAACAATTTGTAAAATGTTGAAAAAAACAAGCTATCTTATCGGTTCCAGTTTTTTCCCTTAGAGAACCCCCTCCTACAGCCTTTTTTTTTTTTTAGTGAAATAATTTTAAGGCACATTCTTTACACTGCTTTCTACTTGTCCCACAGATTTAGCTCCAGTCATCTGCTATAGCAGCTGCCTGAAAAGTGCATCCTTTTAGGACTCTCAAAAAAACTACCTGAATCCTTGTCTTGGGACATGCTTCTGAGGGACCCAAACTGAGGCGTCCCCTATGTAAAATCCTCCTCTTTCCTTAGGTAGCATTACCTGGCCACTTCCATGAGCCACAATGGCAGATAGGATTTAGGAGAAATAAAATTTACCAATAAAAGAGAGATACAAAAATACTATTCCCACTATACCCATGATCCAGTAGCCCTTTGTGCCTTCAAGAAAAGGGCATAATTCTTATCTAGACATTTCCTCTTCTAAAATATTAGGAGCTAGTTGTTTCTCCAAAATGGATTTTTCAACCAAGGCCTCTTACCCCTCTCCCACTTAAATAAGGTAAAGTGTAACCATTATTCTTACCTCCCACCACTAAGAGACAGTATTTTGTGCCCAGGAAGGCAGGCTTCCTCCTAGACGGAATTTTAGTTAGTCTTCACAGTCCAAGGAAAGAAGCATCCTTGTGTCCAGCCTCTCCTTCCCCAGATCAGGGCCCAGGCTCAGAGTGAACTGGCCCTTGATTTTAATTCAACATACTACACACAGATTCTTAGAAGTCCTTAATCTTTTTCACAAGCCTCCCACTCCGCTTGGAGACAAACTGAGTTATCAATAAGAGAACATCCAAAGATAATTATCCTTGAATTTTTTTAAATCTCAGAATGAGAATGGTCTGGGTATGATACACAATCCAGAGGCAATGAAAAGAACAATAAATTTGACCAATATTTAAAATTTTCTGAGTTGTTAAAGAAGTTTTAAAAATGAAAAAAAAATTATTATCCCTGTACATATAGATGCTAAGCCACTTAATCCTACCCCAAGAGGTAGAGGTTGTTAGGTCCAGTTTCAGAGAAAGACAATGAGGCTTGAAGACATAAAATGACTTTGCCTGAGGTCACCTTGTTGAGACAAATGTCACATCCTAAGTTGGAGTTACTCCGAAGTCCCTGATCCTCAGGAGTTAGACAAGGGAATGAGACAGAGAATGAGCATAAGAAAAGGGAAGCAGAGCAAAATGCAAACCTTGAGAAGGAATATATCTGTCAGGAAGGACTCCTTGTGGCTATTGGGTCCAAATCCATAACCAGAGTCTAACAGTCACTGCTGCAGAGGCCTTTCACGCACTCTGCATTGTGTTCCTGACATCTAAGTTAACCTTATAGAGGAGTTCCTGGAATCATCTTTCACCCAATGAGCCAAGACCTGCCTCATCCAATTGGGACTGAGTGGCTACATCCTCATTTGCAAGGATACTGACCAGTCAGGGTGACTCCTTAACAACCAATCCGAATGTGAGAAGCCACCCAATCAGGACAGCACTATTTGAACCAATCAGACTGCGCAAACTTGGATTCCTTATTTGAATAAAAATAGACCAATTGTGAAGAAGAGCAGGAATTTTCTCTATAGAATCTAGTCTCTCCTTTGGGCACAGTGCACTTTCCTCTTCCATTTGAGCCTCCCTTTCCTAAGTTTGTAAACTGTTAACCTAAATAAAGTTTCTCTTTTTTCTACACTCCAGATTGGGGACTCCTGTTGACATTAGATTGGTGACAGCAAATTCTTGTTGACAAAAAGAAGGGGAAAGGCTAAACTCTCTGAAAGAAGGGGTTTCAGAGAGGGCATGGTCATTGCTTCTTCAGTGTGAGTGGGGAGGAATGAACCAGCACCTTCACCTGGGCATTTATTGCGTGCTAGCCATGTACCCCCTGTGCTGATACAACAGGAACAAGTATGGGCCTCCTAAAAGTGGGGACAGTGTGCCTCCCCAGCCAACCTCATGGCAGCACTGTGAGAATCTGCTGAACAGGCAGGCGTCCAGAGCCAGCTCTATAAAACACTCTCCATACTAACAATTTGTCACCAATACCAGAAAAAGCTGGGTATTATGTGTACAACAATCACAAAACCTTGACAAAACCCTTGATGTCTCTGTTTTTGTTTGCACACTCCAATTCGCTCCATCAGAAAATCCTATTGGCACGGATTGATGAATCTTGATCTTCACCCCATCATCCCTGACAGGGCTGGGATTTATGAAGGGTCTTGGATGGGGAGAGAAAGCCAGGTCACACTAGGGAAGCAGATTCAGGAAGTAAATTACCTAAGAAGATCTCAGAGGATAGGTACTTGGATCTCCACACCCCCAGATTTTGTTATGATTGCTTTTCTTATTATAAATAAATGCTCATTTTCGAGGCTTAATTCTGTAGAGCTTTCTAAAATGGCCTTTCTTTCCTCCTTCCCTCACCATTTTATAATCCTCAGGTCCCAGGAAACCTTCATCCACTCTCGGTTTGAGGTCTCAGAACTCACCAGGGCAGGACTTGAGAACAGAGGTGTAAATTTGTCAGGAGAAGGGAGGCAGGGGCACAGAGAGAGAGAGTAAATCCTCATCTAACATGGCAGAAAGTCAATAGATAAATCAAGAAATCGCCATGTAAGCTTATTTTTTTAAGCAACAAGGGGGTGACCACCAGAAGAACTAAATGGAGGAGCTGCTATAAAAGGCTGTGTGTGAAAAGCAAGAGAAAAGGGCCTGTTGCTTTCTTTACAAGAACATTTAGAAAATTCTATTTTGTAAAAAGTGTTCATGCATTACTTTAATACATATTTTTAATTTGATTTTTTTAAATAAAGTAAAATTAAATTAAATAAGAAATAAAATGGGATATAAAACGGGGAATACAATGCTCAGGTAGCAGTGACGAATGGGACGAGTGGGCGAGGCTTAGGGCGAAGGGGCGGGCAGCAGATCCAGGTCTCTTTACAACTTGCCCCCATTGAGGGGGTGGGGCTTAGAGTTAAGTTTTCCTGTGACTCCGCCCACAGCGGGCAGCTTGCGGTGCGCGGGGTCAAGATCGCCTTAGGCCCGCCCCCCAGCGCTGGGGTGCCGCGGGCTAGTCGCGGGGCTGTCCCGCTGAAGGGGCCCTTGTGTTCCGAAACCAGGCTCTCTCCCCTCCAGGTGCTGGGGTGCAGGGCCCTGCGCGGGCCGAGAGCCCTGGTTCTGCCCTGCCGATGTCCCAGTCCCCGGAAGTTCCCCAAGGCTCGCCAAGCGCCTCGGAGGAGCCACGGGACGCGCAGGTAAGCGCAGCCAGGGCCGCCCTGGTCAGCCCGCCTTTGCCTTCGCGGGAGCCCGCTGAAACCTGGACGCCTGGGCGACAGGTGGCGGCAGGGTGCGGAGACTGACAGCAGGTCCCGGGTCAGACAGACCCCAGAACGCTCCTCTACCGTTTCGCGACGAGCATTCTGCCTTAGCGTTGTCAGACTAACTCCATTACTCATGTGTTTCTAACCCGAGGTCGGCAGACGTGACTTTGAATCCCACCTTTAGCATTCAGCAGATACAAATAAGTATTACACAGATTCTTATAGTGTGCCACCGAGTGCCTGCCCGCCCGCCACTGGCCTGTGTTGGGGACACACAGCTGTGGACAAACGCACGTGGTGCGTGACGCCGTGGAGCTCACAGTCTGGCGGGCAAACTCCACTCAAATGTAGAAGTTAAAACTGGCAAACGCTGTTAGGCTAGAAACTGCAGGGTGCTGGGAGGGCATTTAACAAGTGGTCCCATCTGTAAAGGACTCCGGAGTTGAAATTTCTCTGTGAAGTGAAGAGTTCCAGGGTGGAGAAAACAGAGCAAACACTGTTTCGTTGAGAGAGAATGTGACCCGTTTAAGGACAGGAAGGTCAGTGGGGCTGGCCTGTAAAAAACTGGAGTGAAAGAAAGTTCCTTAACTTTCTCCTCTGTAAAATGGGACTGTTCCTACTCACTCATGATTGAGAGAAGTGCAGTGTAAATGACTTGGCAGTATTAGGGGTACAGTAAGCAAAGTCAAGGGGAAGACCTTTATGGATGGAGCAGGATGTTGAGCTGTCTCTGAGCAAACTCACTTCCCTCTCTTTGAGTCCTGTTTCCTTGTCTGCATCTCTCAAACAGCCTGTTCTCTAAAATGATGACTGGTTTGGTCATTCATTCTGGAAACATGTAAGTAGTGCTCACTTTACACTGGTTCTGAGCATTGAAAGAGTAATCAGACATGGGCCCTGCCCTCCTGAAGCTCACGTAGGGTGGGCCAACTGAAGTACACTGCGTTCCAGCCTAGTGTGTTTGGTGCTCTAGGAGCCCAGAGGAGGGGGTCTGGCCCTCTGACCTTGCCTGGGAAAGCCCCTCTGCTGCCAGCCAGATGCCCATGTCCCAGAAAGCCTCATCGGTTACTGCCAGCTACCTGAGCTCCATCAAAACATAAGGCTCACACCCCTCCCCCGAACAGCAGTTACTTCCTTACTTTTATTAATAGCTTCACCCCCTAAAACTGTCCAAAAATCACCTCACAGTGGACCCCTGAGATCTTGAAACCTCAGGGATTTAGGAGAGAGTTTTGGGCTTCAGGAAACGCCTATCACCTGTTTGGTGTACTTTATTCCCTTGAAAGATCCCAGTCCCTTCTTTGGCTCTGTTACATTGTTGGTGTAGACAGGTTTTTCACCATGAAAAGTGCCTGGGAGGCTCAGCGAGTGGGGGAGCACAGTTACGACAGCAGTGTGACCAGTGTGGCGCCATTTGTAGGTGGAGGTAAAAAACAAACAAACAAACAAACTGATATTAACAGAATGGTACAGGAAGGAGAGGGAGAAAGAACAGTCTTTGCTTCCCCTTGCAGACCCCAGCAGTGCCAGACTTGGAAAGAGGAGCTCTAGGCTGGGCAGTCACAGACGGTGGGATCAAATTCTTCTTCATTACTTCCCAGCTCTGTGAATGACCCTGGACTGGTCACTTATGGTCTGATTGTGGAAGCTGAACACAGTGTTTGGCATATAGTTTGCCCCGAAGAAATATTAATTCCTTCCCTCTTCCCTACATGAACTAAAATAGGAATAAAAATAGTGCCTACTTAGAGGGTTACTATGGGGATTTAATGAGTTAATGTAAGTAAAATACATAGAGCAGTGCCCAAATGTGTAGGAAGTTACTGCTACTGCTGCTGCTATTGTTAGGAACAGCTGCTATTTGCCCAGAATAAGACATTCCTTATTCTGGGCAAAAACTGGTGAAACAAGGCTGGAGGAGGGCAAGAGGAGGGAGTGAGAGATGGCTCCGGGGGACTGTGCAGGGTGATTAAGCAGGGGAGGCGGTTATCTGTTGGAGTGGTTTTACCAGAAAGCATCAGCCAGTCAGGAGAAAAGGGGTGTTCTGCATGATAAAGAGCCTCCTGGGCAGCTTCGCTGTCAGAAGACCTCAAGACTCAGGCCAAAGGAAACACAGCAGAAATCATGGGGTAAAACAAGGTGTTGAAAAGGATCTAAAATTGTCTTATCCTGGTTGTGTCTCAAACCCACAACTGAGTATGGATCTTCTTCAAGGACCTGCCCCTGACCCCCACTCTCATAAATGCCTGAGAGTAGTCTAGGAGCTTAGACTCCAGTTCTGTAAGTCCTATGTCCAGCAGAGTACTGAGCCCATAATGAATGTTAAAAGAAATGAGTATGAAGGTAGGGAAAGATCACGAGTGTTTCTGAGTGCCTGCTAAGGGCCAAGCATTTTCATTTATGCAACCTTTGGTGAACACCACAGCTTTGGAGTCAGATAAAATTATCTGTGCGACCTTGTGTATGTCACAGAAGCTCCCTAAAGTTCAGTTTTGGCATCTGTAAAATGAGAATCATTGTACCTAATTCATAAGGCTGTTAAAAGTATTAAGTAATGCTCATATATAAATATATGAAATGCTATTCTTAGTGCACAGCACATAGTATAGTAAGTGCTCAGTCAATAACAGATGCTGTCATTATATTTATTAATCCTCCCAATGATCTCCACTGGGATGAAAGGCCACAGGCACAGATGGGTGGTATTGATTCTGAACCTGTCCTATCGGGAAGCAAAGGCTCTCTACAGACACTAACCAGACACTACAGATGTGTGAAATGAAGTCAACTTTATGTGCATTTCATTCATTACTTAAAGCACTTGACTATGTGAAATCTTAAAAGGAAAAAAACACCGCAAAATTATAATTTATGTGCCTTTTAAGTTCAGGTATTTTATCATCTAGATAAATCATCCATGTATCTATGTTAAACCACTTTAGGCTGTCGAAGCTCTTAAATAAAGTGGCTTGTCCTGCCCAGTGTCTGTCTTTGCTCGTTTATCATTGTTCCCTGGTGAAGACAGACAGATCCCATTTTGCAGGGCAGGCCTCAGGATGACAGCCCCAATGTTTTAGCAGTGCAGTACTGCATGGTGGTGTTTAACAAACCACAGTGGACTCATGATTTCCTCATCATTGTCTCTCATATGCATATAGACCCACAGCGCCAATCTAGGATTTAGGAATAGAAAGGCATTCTATTGCTTGTGCGAATCTGGAGAAATCAGCTTCAGGGGAATCTGAGGTTCTCAGTGATAGGTTGTGGGGTGAAAGTGCCTGGATGAGGTGGGCAGTGTCTTCTGGAAATGAGAGCTGTCTTCTCTTTCTACCCAGGCATGCCACCTCTGGGTCTGGCCTCCTGCCCAGTGAAAATCTCATTGCACGTCTGCCTCCCTGCTGTCCCTGCCTCTGGCCAGGGCTGCTCCCCTCCTGTAGTCCCAGTGGGGACCTTGCCAGGCATGCCCTTCTCCAGCTGCTCTGGAATTACCTCTCCTGAGGCCTCCGCCTGAGAGCCTATTTGCTTCTTCCTTCTTTGATCCCCCTGGGTACATCCGGGTGCGGTTCCAGCATAGATTTTATCACATTGTGGCTAGTGACCTGCCATTTGAGAGAAGGGCAAAGCTGACTGCTGTTGTCCAGAGGGCAGGAACACCTGTCTGCAGGCAGAGCCGTGCCATCCCAGCACAGCCCTCGTGAGGAACCAGCTGTCCCCAGAAGGACACCACCCCTGCCTTCAATCCCATTCAGTTCCATTGAGAACAAGGAGAAAATAACACTAAAAGGCTGGTTTTAAATAAGATATGATCCAAACAGCCCCAAGAAACATTCTCTTTCCATGACTGAATATGATTAGAGAGTTATTTTATCTGTGTGGCCAGAGCTGTTGACAAAATACATCTTTGATCCCCACCAGTCTCAGATGTAGAACTCAGGTGGGAGTTGAGCTGCCATCTTCCTTGAAGCAAAGGAAGGGAACTGGCATCTCTGTGCAGAAATCCACAAGGCTTTTGAGTTCTTAGGCATAAATGTTTCCATCCGTCAACCTGGAGCTTCTTAGAGCTCCTAAGATGTTTTTAAGTTACAGCCAGTCTTCCTGCCTTCCCCCGTCCATCAGCCCCCTCTCCCTTGCTTTCTCTTATAAGATGAACTGTCAAGGCAGGAGAGAACCCAGGTAGGAGTGCTGGAACTGACTTGCAGAAGCAGAGTTAACAAATTAAAGGCAGATGTGTGGGGATTTAATGCCTTGATCCCACCTAGTCAGGTGTTCAGAAGAGAGGAGCATGGACCAAGGCTGACCAACCTGTTCAGCCTAATTGCATACTAACCGCAGCCATCAGTTCTGCTGTCAGCCAGTCTGTTCGCTGAAAAGGATTTGCAGTTGGGGAGGGGAAGAACGGTGAAAACAAGTGATGCAAACGAACCCCATTTGGGGCCCAAAAGGTTGCATAGAGAATGTCAGTGTCAGTGTCAGTACGGGGATCACACCAAGCCAGGTAAAGAGCAGACTTTAAAAGGCTAGATGTTTCCCTATGAGCCGGTGATCTTGAGGACAGAATGCCAGTTACATGAATTAGTGTATAGGAATCTAACCTGAAATTATTGACTTCCATATTTTCAATTAAAGATCAGATATAGGTGTTTATGGCATGAACCCTTTACTTAGTGTCAAATACTGCTTTGCTTTTTAATTCTTGCATCAGGCCTTCTTTTATGTAATTTTTATGATGCGTTTGGTTATTATCGCTTTAGTGTGTTTTTGTGCAAAAAAGATGCCAATGTCTGTTACTCACTTTATATTTTATGAATAATCAAATGACTGCAGATAAAAGGAGGAGGGCTGCCAGTTTCAGGTGTCACTAAAATGCTACTATCCTTTGGCTTCTTTCTGGGATTCTGTCTTAAGAAAATCATTTGAAAAGTGAAAAGAGCTAC